GAGGGCGGCGACAGAGCTCAAGCTTTTTTGGAGAAAAGCGTAGGTGTGCGCGTGTGTGTGTGTGTGTGTGTGTGTGTGTGTGCATGTGTGCGTGTGAGAGAGTAATTTTGCAGTTTAAGCGAATTAATGTAATTGCAGAGGCGACAACGACGATTGCCGGGTGGGGCAGGGTGGGGGGGATGAGAGCAAAATCCCGCTCGTTGTTGATAAGTAAATCAAAAGGCAGATGCAAAGGCAGCAGAAATCATGTTGTTGTTATTGTTGTTCGTGAAAAGCAACAGAGTGTATACATATATGTATTATTATATCAACTCATTGTGTATGTCTATATGTATGTATCTGTAGCATCTGTTGTATCTGCTGCTCAGGCTGTGCCTGTTACTATAACTGTCTCTGTATCTGTATCTGTATCTTTAAGTCTCAGCAGCTCAGTAGATAATTGTGATTAGAGGTGATAAGACGAACGCGCATAGCTTGCCGCCCCATAGCCAGGCACATTGTCAATTTAGATATAGATACAGGTAAAATATTACACATGAAATACATATTTATTTTTTGCGTGTCTACAGTTTGGAGCTATAACTTGTGCTAATTTTGTGCTGAAACAAAGTTTATTTATGGCCCCCAGAGGCGGCCTTATCGCACCGAAAGCGGCGCCTATAAAAATATAAGCATATTAATATATATGCATACATACTTGAATAGTACGAGTCATATTTAATATCAGGGGTCGCTCCCAATTCGCGTCTGTCACTGTCTCGGCTCTAGATAGGCCACAAAAATGGGTCAGGCAATTGTCACAAGTCTTCTCCAACTCTCGTACACCCGTCCCATATAACTTGGTACGAGCTCTTCGCTGAATGAATTGTAACATGCTTTTGGCCTTCGGGCTTTTTTTGTACGCGTGCCAGATAAGCGATAAATAATATATTCCCAACCAACGCTAATCATATTCTTAATCGCAAGCAATTCCTGATACACAAAGTTGTTTTTATACCCTGAACCGATTGACAAAAAAAAGGAAGTATTTCTTAAAGTTTTTTTCTTTCGGTAACTTCTCTTTTTTATGTTCACAATATCGATAAATATCGATTGTGAGGCTCGCGTTTTTGGGCATAACTCGAAAACTATATGGGTTAGATACAAGAAAATTGGTTTTAAGGCTCTTGAGAAACATATACAGATTGAGGACATACCACTGTTTGGATACCCTTTCCAAGGCTCCCAAAAAATTGAAGAAAAGCCGAGCTTTGCATACCATATTTACGTCCGGAAAAGTTTCTGAATATCCATCTACAAAGTTCTTAGTTAGCCAGGAATGCATATTCCATAAGGTGCAGGGTATATTCTAGTCGTGCAGCCTAGCACATAGCTTATTGCAGCCACATTAAACCATGGTTTAGGAGGCTCAGATATATGTATATAGCTTGTCAATGGAGACGCACTTGTAGAATCTGGATGAATAAATATATAAAAACTAAATTGAACAGAGGCAAACAAGTTGTTTATGCCCTCAATAAATAAATAAATTAATATATAAGAACGCTAATAAACGTATATATAAATATTAGTTAACACCCAAAGTTGTTCCACCCAACTGCTCGAAACTAACCCGTTCTCGACAGCAATATTTCTAATGCCGTTTAGCTGCCAATATATCAATTGATTTAGTATGCACTAAATAAAGACATCTCAGATAGGAACGGAGACAAACGCTTGTCAAAATTGCCATAAATATTAGTTGAAGCGTATTCCAGCTAGTTGTCTTTTCGCATTTGTATCTGTATCTGTACCTGTATCTGTATCTGTGTCTGTATCTGTATCTGTATCTGCGTAATTTACGGCCAGATATCACGTACAGACTTGGACAGTTGAAGTTCGGCTGAGCAACAAACGGTTATCGCGATCATAAACATCGATCACTCACTCAGTTATCGATAAATATGACTCTATCGATAAATACGAGCTTATCGATAAATATGACTCTAACTTTTTAACTTTGTTTCGAACTTTCGACAGGGATCGCTTCCGTAGCCGCAGACGCGCCTCGATAGCCCCGCTGCCCGCCCTCCGACTGAACAGCAAGGAGATGTTGGCCAGCGATTTTGATACCCACAGCTTGGCCAGCAACCAGGCCTCGATCACAAGCGTCAACTCGTTGGCGAGTTTACTGCGCGAAAAGATGCAGGTGAGAAAAAGAGAGAGAGGGAGAGAGTTGGGAAAGAGAGAGCGGGAGAAGAGAGATGAGATGAGATGAGATTAGATAACATGAGAAAGAGAGATGAGATAAGATTAAATGGGAGAGAAAGAGAGAAAGAGAAGAGATAAGTGAGCGTGAAGATGAGAGGGAGAAGAGATGAAAGAGAAAAGAGATGAGATGAGAAAGAGAAGAGATGGGATGAGAGGAGATGAGATGATATGAGATGAGATGAGATGAGATGAGATGAGATGAGATGAGATGAGATGAGATGAGATGAGATGAGATGAGATGAGATGAGATGAGATGAGATGAGAGGAGATGAGAGAGAGAAGAGAGAGGAAACGGTGTGAAGAGAGAGAAGTCGAAAAAGTCTTAAAAGAGAGAAGAGTAAAAGTAGAATAAAGTTAAGTTAATAAGAGAATAATGCGCATAAATAAGTAGCTGCGTTTCGCTGCATACGGAATGTGCCAATTTTTATGAGAAATTATAAATGTAAATGTTGAGCAACATTTCGAATGACAAGTGGAATGCAGCTAATGCAGCCCGTTACTTTAATGATTGATCATCTGCTGACAGGCCTTTCCACAGCTGATACGGAAAAAGAAGCGCGAGACGAAGGACTACAAGATCAAGATCTTTGTGATCATAATGTTCTTCATCATAATCTTTCTGGTAAGTGGATTTAATGATTTAATCGAAACGTGCTTGAAGCTCACGAATGTCGTCCGTGCAGATTGGCTATGCGTACATTGCGTACCATCACCAGGTGCTGACCCGAAGCTATTTCCAGAAGATCAAGTTCAATTCGAAGGATCGCATCTTTCGCATACTGAGCCACGAGGACAAGGAGGTGATATCCGGCCACCTGGGCGTCACACTGGACAGCGACACGGCGCCGTTTCACTGCCTGGAGAATCATCGGCGCAGCGACGGCAGCGTCTGCATCGAGTGGAACGGCATTGCCCGGCTCCACCTGAACTTCGAGGACAAGCAGGTCTTTCGCTGTTACACGCTGCAATGGCAGGCTTTGAGGCCGGGCCTATTGCCCACAGACTGCTACGAGCTGAAGCGGGACAATGGCTTGTGGTTTGGCGGCGGCATCACCAAGGGCCAGGAATGGTCCCTGAGCTATGCAAACTTTGATTTTATGCCCTACGCCAGCGGCGATCACAAGGTGCATCAGTTTGGCAACGCGGTCAAGCGTTACTTCATCAACTCCATAGGCGTGGCGATGCAGGTGAGCGAACGCACGCCCCTCCAGCTGGGCATCAATCGCACCGAGAACCAGTTTTGCCTGCGTGCGGCCAACGATGATTTCACGTTTGTCAATCGGCTGACGCCGCTGCCCCAGCTGGACTACAAGATCTGCACGACGGAGGATATGCGCAGCCTGCACATGCTGATGACACAGCAGAGCCTCTGGGATGGCCTGACCGAGCAGGATATTGCGGAGCTGCATTCGCTGCTGGAGGAGCCCGTCTGGCGTATACCGAATCAGGCGCAGCGCGACAATCTGAACGAATCAATTATCTGTGACTATTCGGAGAATGCCATTGCCATGGGACTGGGTCACATTGTCATCAATGAGTTCTGGCAGGAGAATATTGGTGATTTCACTGTGGATCGCGTGCGCTTTCCCACGCTCAAGGACACCATCGATGTGCTGCATCGGCGCGGCTTTAAGGTCGTCTTCACCATCCAGCCGTTCATCAGCACGGACAGTCCGAACTTTAAGGATGCGGTCGCCCGCAAGCTGCTCATCTATGAGCGCTACTCGGAGCGCAGCATTCCGGCCCTGACGCGCTACAAGAGCAGCTCCAGCGCCGGCGTTCTGGACATTACGAACAATGCCTCGGTGCCCTGGCTGCTGGAGAAGCTGCAGCGGCTCAAGGATGAGTATGGCGTAAAGAGTTTCTATTTGGACTTGGGCACCGGCTACAATCTGCCGCATTACTATCAATGCCGCCAGCCGCTCGACAATCCGGACATGTATGCACGCATGCTGACCAGCAGCCTGGAGAGTGCCGGACTCATGGCCGTTTCCACGGCCAGTGTGGTGCCAAAGCCGCCAACATTCCTGAGCACGCCGCCGGCGAATGCCACATGGGAGGGTCTGCGGGATACGCTGGCCGCAGTGCTCAATTATGGCGTCATCGGCTATCCATTTGTGCTGGCCGGTGCCATTGGCGGCGACTATTTGCTGCAGCGTCCGCTCACCAAAATGGTCTCGTTCTATTCGCTGGCACAGCCGCCGCTGCCGGATGCCGAGCTCTTCATACGCTGGCTGCAGTTGGCCACATTCCTGCCAGCGATGCAGTTCAGCCATCTGCCGGATGAGTACCACAGCGAGCTGGTCACACGTGTCGCCCAGGAGCTGAAGGAGGTGCGCCAGACGGTGGTCATAGCGCTGCTCAAGAAATATCTTAGCCCCTCGATGAACGAGGGACTGCCGCTGGTGCGTCCGCTCTGGATGCTCGATCCCCATGATCCCGCCTGTCTCATTGTCAGCGATGAGTTCTCCGTTGGCGAGGAGCTAATCGTGGCGCCCATCTTGGATGCGGGTCTCGAGGAGCGTGAGGGTAAGTGAAGTCCAGCAACCCGACAAGCCACAATAATAATCCAAATTGATTCCATTCACATTTCGTGTTTTCAGTTTATTTGCCGCAGGGCGTCTGGAAAGACGGCATCGATGGCTCCCTGCGCAAGGGCAGCCGCTGGATGCACGGCTATCGTGTGCCCAAGGACAAGATTGCCTATTTCCGCAAAATGCCCGACAATACGCGCTTTTAAGCGCCCACAGTTCCAGTTCACACTCATCTCTTGTTATTTTAATTCTGTATTATTATTGTATTTTTATTTTTTTTTTCTGTTCTTATCTCAATATACAATATATATATATATATGCGCTGATAGATAATACTACATAAATCATATAAACAAATGTTGCCTAAACTCTGCGCTTAGTTTCTAGAATCCTTTTTTTTTTGACATTTTTTTTCCTCTTTTTTGATTTGTATTAAGTACATTATGTTATGCCCTGCATGCATTAGTTATTTAAACTAAATATAAACAAAGTTTATTGTCGTTTTAAACATTTGATATGCGCTTCCCAAAGTTAGCTAGGATTTGAAAATCTATTTAATGTTAAATACTTGTATTGAAAATTGTATTTTGGAAAGTCAAATTTAAGTGCAATTAGAGGACAGATCTCTTGATACTTAAAATTCTTCCTTAAGAAGTCGACACTCAAAGGAAACTCTCTTTAAATTTGATTGGAGACATTCCATATAATCCGATATTTTCTATGAATCACAAAATTTAAACACGATTTTTGGACAATTTTCCTTTGAAAAATCGAACATAAGATTGAGGTTAACTTCGCAAGTTCTATGAAAAATATCGCAATATGAAATACTGAAGCGAAATCGATTTATCGAAAATATATTTCTATTTGCACATCTCTAATTGCCTTAGATCGATATCTTGCGCAGCACCAGGTGGCGCCACCTGCAGGGCACACGCAAATTATTAATCGATAATTATTAATCGATAACATGACTTATCCAATAACTACACGTATAATTCGAACTTGTTAAATAAATATGTAAAACTGTCTGGGTTTGTAAAAGCAGCTCACTTAAATTAGCTTTCTATTTAATTATTAGCAATAAATAGTTGCCGCCACCGGTTCCAGTTCCAGTTCCAGTTCCGACTCCAGTTCCAGTTCCAGTTCCGGTTCCGGTTCCTAAAGCTCGCTCACTGCTTGAGCCGGCACTCGGGCAGCGTTGACTCGCAGGGCTCGGTTTCGGGCGGCCTGGTCAGTAATCCGCACTGGGCATCCGCGACAACAACATCATGCTGATCGAGACAGACAATGGAGCGACGCCGCTGCGGCATAGGTGCGCCCGGCTGGCGGCAGGTGAGCGGACAGAACTGCCAGGGACCCGGCCACCAGTGCGCCGGGCACTGCTGCTCGCCGCAGGCGCGTGTCTGCCTCAAGGGTCGCCGGTTCTTGGCGTGCGTCCAGCAGGGTAGCGTGTCGCCGAGCACTGCCCATATTGGACGAAGCACATGTATTGGTTATATGTCTAGAGGATCATTTGAAATGGACTCACGCTTGCCATTCTCCTGGCAGATGGGCTCGCGATGCTGCACACCGCCGCCGCAGCTGACGGAGCAGGCGGTCCAGTTGCTCAATCGCCACTGATGCTGCCGTCCGCTGGTCACATTGAAGGCGGGCAGCGTGAACTCATAGTAGATGCCCGTGTTGCTCTCATTGCTGCGCACAATTGCCTGCAGAGATGGTCGCAATAATATACAGAGAGCGAGAGTGGCAGGGGATCGGCTTCAGGTACTTACATAGAGCGCGATGGCATGCTGTATGGGCTGAGGTATTTTGATGGTCTCCCGCTCGTCCAGCCGATCGTAGAGGCTCTCGGCGCCGGCAATCTCGAGTTCGCCGGGCATGGAGATCAGACTGTCGCCATTCAAATAGAACTTCTCGCCCTGCGCCCGTCCGATGGCCAGAAAGTGCGGCGAATTGGCCAACTCCTTGATCAGTATGCGACGCGCTCGTGCCGGTATGTTAACGATCTGTACATAGACGCCGTCGCTCACATTGAAGGGCTCACTGTAGATCTCCTTTATGGGCTTGCATTGATCACCAGCACCGCCGCAGACACCGCAACGATCGTCCTGCATGTCCGAGTCAACGATCCAATCGCAACCAACTTTCTGAATGAAACGCTCGTTTAATTGATCTCGCCGAGCAGCTGGCCTTTAGTCGGTTTACCCGAACTTACCTTGCAGATGCCATCGATGCACATGTTGTTCGTGCCCAGCGTGCAGGGCGTACCGTCGAGCACAGTTTCGCCCCAGTTGGCGATTATCGTGTCATCCACATCACTGCAGAACAGGCGGCACGGATTGTCTACAAGTGTAAATTGTAGACTCGTTTATAATATATACAAAATTTTAAATAATCTTTCTTGTTTTTCATCCATTTTCCGCTTGTGGAAGTGGATTTTCCCCAGTTATCAGCTCTTGCTATGCAGGAATTTAGGCATGCATTGGAATCAAAATAAGAATCCGCTCAGGTAAGTGGATTTTGAAAAATCAGGTGAAATACGTATAAAGTGAATTACTGAAGCGATCTTTGAAAGCGACTTAAATTATTTGAAATTCAAATCAAATTAAATCAAATTAAAATTAAAGTCGAATTGCTTTTTTTCTAAAACATATTTCCGCCCGTAAAGGTGAATTTGAAATACGTATAAAATAATGATTTTGAGAATGTGCTCGAACCTAAAACTGGTCGGAAATAAATTGCAATTTCGACCAATTAACCTAAAGCTCTATTCATTTATGAATTTATGCATAAATATGTATTCCACCCAGTTTCCACGCTCGTCGATGAAATGATGCATATATTATATATATAGTATTTTTCTATTCCAGGATAACTGCGGACTTACTCTTGTCGAAGAAGGGCAGCCACTTGTAGGTGGCGCCCTGGTAGCTGACATTGTCGTAGCGTGCACACTGCTGCGCCCGGAAGCTGGGCTCGTGCTCCGGACAGGGCTTCTTGCGGCAGATCTTGTAGCGCTTGCGCTCCCCAATGCAGAAGACGCCGCCATTGGCCGGCACCGGTGAGTCGCATTCGCGCTGCTGTATGGAAACGCCGCCGCCGCAGCTGCGCGAGCATTCGCTCCAATCGCTCCAATTGCCCCAGCCGCCATGTATGGGCGTTAGCTCCTCCATGCGCACACATTTGCCGTTCTGGCACCATTTGTTCTTGCCGCAGGCGGTGCCCGGCGCCGTTGGGCGCATATTGGTTACGCACTCGCCGTTCACGCGACACCACAGCGTCGAGCAGAACTCGTGCGGTGCGGAGCAGGCGCCCACATCGCTGTCCGTGGTCAGATTGAACTGCATGCGGCACTGACGCTTGGCATTGTATCGCTCGCCCGGCAGCACCTCCGGATAGTTGTACTCATCCGGCGGAGTCGGCGAATCGTTCAGGCATTCGCCCAGTCCCTGGCTGCAGCAATCAATCGAAATTATTAACACCGAATCGTGACCAGTGCTAGCCAGCTACTTACTCCAGGAAATGGGTTATGTATTTCCGGCTGCAGTTTGACCAGCAAACCTGCAGCGTATCCGCTCCAAACGTGGGCGTCATGATGTGCACAATGGAGCCCACTCGCGGATGGCAGCCTATCTTGGCCGTGTCGTGGAACATGCCGAAGCTGTGCAAATACAAAATATAATGGATCATGTTTGAGACAGGTAAAAACTCGACATTAGGCTGGTCAGGTAAGTCGATTTCAAATATATAAAATAAAATTATAATCCGTTTTTTTAAGTCTAACATTTAAACATAGCATGAATTCGAATTTAATTTCTAATCGATAAGTTTTATTTCATTCTCTTCTCCCTTTATGATAATCGATTTTTAATCAATTTTCTGAATCGTTAACCCATTTAATTAGATTTCGATTCTTATCGGGCTATCGATAAAACGTGTCTGTCGCAGCACAATAGTTTTGCATACGTAAAACGTAACGTAATGACGTAAGCAACCTATTTTACGTAGTACAAACGTAAGGGACTAAGCAAACCCTTAAGTTTCTTGCAAACACGGAATTACTTAATCGATTTTCATAAAAAGGATATATGCGACTTTTGATATACTTGTACGACAAAACGTAATGTAATAACGTTATGCAACGGTGGCTTACGTAAGCGAACGTAGCGAGTCGCTCGACTCACACAGGGGTTAAACTCGATCAACATTGTTGCAATTGAACGACTCAGCGGCAGCTACCTACCTGCCCCCTCCCCCCCACCCCCCTTACCACTTGATTACCCGCTCTACTATAGTTAATCTGTTTAGATTTATTATTCGCATTGTCTTTGAGGAACGACACACAAAAAAAAAAAAAACAAACAGAAAAGATCAACAACAAAACGCGACTAGCAATTTATGCCACGCTCTGGGACTAGACTGCGGGCAAGTCAAAAACCTGATTATTAGAATAGTGCTTAAATCAGCACAGTACAAAATAAAAACAAAAACACACACACACACACACACATAAAGAGAGGGGGAAAATAAGCATATCGTTAGCCAGCGGCTGCCACCTGACGATGACCGGGCGACCCAGCGACAATCAAACGTAAATTGCACAACAACAAACAAGTCACATTGATTGAATCGGGCTGTGCTCGACTTGCAGATACCCCGCTTATCGATAAGCATAAACGATTTCATTTATAACGGCTATCGATAAGCATAAACGGTTTAATAACAGAAGGTAATCGATAAGCGTAAATGGTTTAATAACTGAAGGTTATCGATAAGCATAACAGATTATATATCTAAAGATGATCGATAAGCATAAACGATTTCAGATATAATGCTAATCGATAAGCATAAACGGTTTAATAACTGAAGGTTATCGATAAGCATAAATGATTTAATTTATAACGGTTATCGATAAGCTTAGGCGATTTAATATAGAAATAGCATGTGTCTCATTTCGTTTATCGATAAAACTATAATCGATTGAAGAAATTCAAAAGGTTGTCTGCAAAACAATTAAAATACTTTGCCGCTTTATCAGCCCAAGCTCTCATCATCTACCTATGTAGAGAGTTTTTTGTTTTACGTAAATCAGATATATCATTGGATGTTAATCTAGATCAGGAATAGTTATATGCCCCATTGAAAACGTATCACAATTCGCCTGATTACAGGGTATAATGACGATTGTGGCCGCTGCAGTGGCTGATCCGCTGGCCGGTTGAGTCAATCGCTACACGCCAGACTGACGGGCACTTGCCTGCGCTTATAAGGCATTTTACAAAAATCCACTTGGCACGAACACCAAACGAGATAAGCCTACGAAACCGGACAACTGCGACAGCCACCGGCTGTGCTACCAAATTGCTACGTACCGCACTCGCCGTGTGTGTGTGTGTGTGTGTGTGTGTGTGTATGTGTGTGTGTGCATTAGAGATGGACCAAAAAAATCCGTAACAAAATAAACATAAAGCAAACTAAAAACTTGAGCCTTAGCTTTTCATTAATCTTGACCAGATAAGCAAGTGCGTGAAAGCTCGAGTATTTTATAAGCATTTCATTGAAAGCTTAGGCCTAAGCTTTGGATTAATCTTGAACAGACTTTTGAAAATTGATTAAAAGCTTAAGCTGAAGCTCTCGATTAATCTTGGCCACATAAGTCCGAAGATTAAGATTCCTTTTTCAGTTTTAATGCACTAAAGGCGCTTTGTACTTGTACGAGCTTTCAAAGCTTTTGGAATTTAAGCTACTGAATTTTGTAAGAACCACGTCTTTTGTGTCTGTGTCGTATTTATATAATAAATATCATATCGTGTATCATATATACATATGGAGTATATATCATAAATAATAAGAGATTTACGAGTCGATCAGTTGTCCATCTCTAGCTGGGAGTTCGCGTGTGTGTGTGTTTCTCACTGGTTCTGCGACTAATTGAGTTTGAATAGCGCAAGGAGGGCGGCTAAATGCGGACGGGGCCAAAAGGGAGGTTGATAGTCGAGAAGAGGTGGGTAGAGGAGGAACGGGGCGTGTGTGTATGTGTGTGTGTGTGTGTGTGTGTGAACAACTATCGACTGTGGGCGTGCAACGCAGGCGATCATTGTCACAACACACGCAGGTGTCAAAGCATCCGTCGCGTCCACTTAGAGCAGCCATTCATGCGATTTGTTGTTGTTGTTGTTGTTGGACCCATTGATTTTGAATTGAAAGGGTATCACGATTCGGTGACAATGTATGTAACACTGAAAACTCAGCATCACACGCATGAACCAATCATATTCTTCTCTCATTATCGTAATATCGATAAATATCGATTTTGTGAGCCGATTGTCCGTTTGTCCTTCTGTCTATTGTCTTGAAACTTTGCATAGGTCTGTCTTTTAACATGCTAGTTGAGGAGGAGGAGAAGGAGTGGAAGAGAGGAAGCTAGCATGTTGGCAAAGTCAGCTTGGCGGTGGGTATCCGCTAGTCGGACACGCCCGACTGGCTGGCTGGCTGCTTCGATTCATTCATTAAACGAATTGGGCTGCACATAAATCTCTTTTGGCTGGCCGATCAATTGATGCATTTGCATTGCGTTGGCCGTTGCCGGCGGCCAAGTGACCGCAGCTCGACTGGAAGTGCATTTCGATGTTGGCCAACATGCGCATGGACAGACTCTATGCAAATGTGGCGCCGCGGCAGCGACGAGGGCAGCAAGGGGGGTGGTGCAGCATGCTAACTGATACGGAAGTTGTTCGACTCACTTGTGGCCCAGTTCGTGCGTGATCGTGTGGGAGAGCATGATGCCGTTGTCCTCGTTGACGCTGCACGATTGCTTCGGCTTGCACATGCCGCCCACATTGGCCAGTCCCAAAGTCCTGCAAGACGGGCATAGATTAGACAAGGGGGGGTTTAGGTTTGGGGTTCGGGGTTCGGGGGTGGGATCTACTACTCACATGCAATTGTTGCCGCAAATATTTTTGCGTGTTATCAGTATGGCGACATCGTGATGATGCGGATCCTTCTCGTTGTGCGTGTTCAGCTTGTGCTGCCAGCTGCAAAAGCGATCCAGATTCTTTTGGGCATTCTGCGTGAGATTCAGCTCCGGTTCCGTATCGTTCTCCTGCAGCTGTATGATGCGCACCACAACGATCTCGATGGCATTGCCAATGCTGGGATCCTTGTACAGGGCGGACACCATATTCATAATGGTCAGCAGATAGCTGACGACGTCCTTGTGAAACGCGGACATTGTCGCATCCGCCACAATGAGTGTCTCCACGTGCCGCGGACTGCTGATCGAGCGACGGCTGCGCTCCATATGCGTTGCCACCGGCTGTGTATCGTATTTGAATTTCGTGTGCGGATGCTTTTGCAGGCGCCGATGAGGATGCAGCTGGTGCTGATAATGATGATGATGGAAAAGATGCTGCTGCTGCTGGAGCTGATGATGATGATGATGGCGTCGCACCTTGCGACCGCCTTGTATTTTAAACTTGCCACGCGCCTGCCACTCCAGACGCGTCTCCATGCGGCGTCGCGGCTCCCGTGTGCCACAATTGCTAACCGGACTCGAGCTCTGGCTCTGGCTCTGGCTGTGATTGCCGCGCTGCTGAGCCTTGTGGTGCTGCTCCTTGCGCTTGCGCTTGTGCTTGTGACGCCAGTGCGGATCCGCCTGCCAAATGCAAACCGAAAGCAGAGCACAAATGGACGCTAATTAGTATGTTGGCAGCTCGCACGCACAACAATTTAGTTGGGCTTACCTTTTGCTTGGGCTTCACCGCGGAGCGCTGGAAGACCACGTGCGGATGCCCGTTGATTGGATGCGCCGCATGCTGCTTTGAGGGCTCTATGTAATACTCATTGCTGGCCGTCTTAATGTGGCCCACCTGGCAAAAGGCGATAAGAAATAGGCAACCCCAAAAAGAAAATCAATGTCAAGCAGAAAGACTTAGGCAACGAACTTGATCAAAACAAATGACTTAGGCAACAAACTTGGAAATGTGCAACTACACTCGAAGGGAAATAACGAAAAATAAATGAAAATCTGCACATCTGGCTGAATATATGTTATATTTCGGAAACCGTAATATATTGATTTGCGATCTGCATAGCATATATATTCATTTGTTGTTTAGTTAGTCACTCACCAGACCGGAGCAGGTGGATATGGCCACGTTGGCCGAGGGCTGGCCGCGCACCTTGCCATGAAAATGGCAATTGAGCTGATGCGCCGGCGGCGGCGCACGTGTGCGCAGATCGCGACGATGTCGCTCCACAATTAGCTGCGGCGCCAGAAAGTAGCTGTGCGGTCTGCAATGCACAATGGGGCATGGTTATGGTTAGGAGCTGCTGCTGCTGCTCGCACAGAGTGGCCAACGACCAAGACTTACGTCAGCTCCAGATGCAGCGTCTCGTCGCGCAGCGGCAGCTGTAAATGCAGCTCCGGCTGTGCCTCAACGCTGCGACGCTGCCGTCGATGATCCCGCTGATGGGCATATTGGAGGCTGTGCGTCATGAACGCGCCGTCGGCGTGCACACGCCGCGGCACCACCAGCTGCCCCTCGCCCGCCACCAGCTCGTCCGTGTGCAGGCCATACAGCGTTTCACAGCCGACGTCAAACGAGCTCAGCCACAGGCAGAGCAGGCTGCTCAGATAAAGGCGCTTCATAGTTGGGCGCTTAAGTATGCTAATTCTCACTTGTTCTCTCTCTCTCGCTCTCGCTCTCGCTCTCTTGTTCGCTGACTGACTCTTGATATTCGCACTCTAGGTGGCCTTTAGCCGTTGTCCATGCGTTTTAGCAGCTTGCCAATTAGCGGGCACATGGCCGCAGTTGCATTATATGCAGGCGCAGAAGCCCAATCACAGCCTGCTCAGATTGTCGCGTGGCTGCAAGGGAAAGCATAAAGATTCGGTTGATTAATTTCCAAAATATGTGTATTGGTATTATACTGCTGCAAGCTTGAAATGGAGTCACAATCGGGCAGAGAAATGCAATTCAAGCATGTGAGTCTGCTCCAGTCGGGCTGAGCGACTGGACGATACCCTGCACCAGGCTTACAAACATTCTTGCTTCCTACTTTCTGCCTCTTGTTAAGATCACTTTAACACTCGATAATACCCATAGATAACTATTTTAAGTATACATAACGTACAGAACATTCGCTGTTTGTCATACAAAACGAGAGAACCACAGCTGGTATACTACCTGGCAAAAATTAATTTGTGCAAAATATATTCATGTTACAGCACAAATCAGATTTACAGCTGAGTAAAGCGCCAAATGACACGAGTTGAATGTGAAATTTATACTGACAATTAAACAATATTGCAAACTTGAACGAAATAGCTTATTCTCTAGCGTAAGCTTTCGCTTTAAGCTCGAGTGTAGTTATAGAAAGCTTAGAGCTTTCTTTTACTCATTACAAAAAAAGCTTTAAGCAAGAGCTTTGAAAAAGAGCTTTAAGTGAACTTGTAAGTCAGCTTTATTTACCCTTTGTGCATTATGTAAAAACTTAAAGCTTTAAGTGAGCTTGTTGCATTTAGTTTAATAGCTTAACTGCTTTGAAAGAACGCCTGAAGCTTGCTTCATTGCATCAGGCGAAAGCTTTAAGCGAGATTATAGCATTTAGCGGGAGCTTTAAAGGACAGCTTTACGTTAGCTTTTTCGTAAGGTTACACGTGGGCTTTAAGTGAGCTCCTTGCATTAGGCCAAAGCTTTAATCGAGCTTATGGCATTTAAAAACTGTAATAACTGTAAGCCATGTAGCTAGACAACAGCTTTAAGTGAGCTTTTTGCTTTTAGTGCACGTATTAGAGTTAACTTAAAGCTTAAAGCTTGATTAAAGCGCCATTGTAAAGTACTCAACATTCGCTTAACCTATTTAAGACCTAATTCTATAACTTGCTGTACGTGTTTAATGTGTTAAAGGGTATATACTAGTCAAGCACGTGCTGCTCGCGAATTTTTTGTGCTGTTTCATAATGCAATTAATCCAATAATCAAGTAGTTGCCGTTGGCAGCAAGTGTCATTGTGACCATAAGCACTTGGCTCAGTTGACAGCAACAACAACAAGTCAGAGTGCTCGACTAGGGGATACCCTAACTCTAGTTTCCTTCTGCGTAGCCGTGCTACTTCATCTTCCAATTGCTCTACATTATATGCAATTTAAATATGGCATATTTATTTAATATATGAAAATGAGGCAACTTTCTAGTTTTTGAGTAAGTGGGAATTTTTACCCAAAATCTGATATATTCTTTAACTAAATACACTATACGAGAAGTTACACATCAAGTAAAGTCTATCTACCACTTGTATATTATTTTACGAGTTGGGCTAAAAAAAAAAAAAAAAAAAAAAAAAACAAATCTCAAAATCGATATTTATCGATATTATATCAATTGCAGAATATATCGACATAAAATCCTAATAGGCAATAAATATGTTTTCGAATCGACTCAGCGTGTCGCTCTGATCAGGTTGATGCTTGCGCCTTTCTGTTATATACATTTACACACAACAGTTTACCCATTTCGCATAAGTACAGGGTATACAAAGCAACAACAACAAGGCACAACCGCAGGCCGCGTTGGTGTCGCTTCGGGCCACAATGCATTCAGATTGAATTACAATTGTGCGCATTTCATCAAAAGCTGATGTTGTTGTTGTTGCTGTTGTTGTTGCTGTTTTAACTGGAAGTAGCAATTGTTGCTGCTGCAATTTTGTAGCTGCGCCCTGGCGCCAGCGCTTTTATTGGCAGCTGGAGGAGACGGCCGACGGATACAGGACACTTGCGTTGCGGAGCGCCATGAATGATGCAAACCCGATCGGGCCAGACAGACAATTATGGCATAAATTTCTACGAAAATATGCAACAACAACAACAACAACAGCAACAACAAAAAGTTGAAAACAAAATAACTATTTCCAGCTAATAAATAAAAGCTGATTAGGTTTTAGCTTTTTAGCAAATGCTTGACAATAAAACTGAAGCCTGAGTTGTGCTTGCCGCAGATTTTGGCCAGGCGGCGAGAAAGGGTGTGTGTGTGTGTGTGTACGTTTTTTTTTTTTGTTTTTTTTTTGGGTACTGCCCACAGCCAGACAATGGCTAACCAAATTTAAAGCCAAAAAAATGGGCAATAAAATTAAGCAAATCATTTGAATGCGGCGCTTCAAAGGCAACACACACGCAAGAGAACAACCAGCTGCGGCAAGTCGAAGTTCAAATACCCTTACAGCCATATGAAACATAAGTGTAGCTCGTAGTTGCAGATGTCTTGAGGTACAGAAAAGTATCCAATTTGGCATTTATATAGACATATGCTATAGTCAATGTGCGTCTATAAGATCTATATACAGGGTATTGACAAATCTGATCAGATGCTTCGTCTTGAACTTGGCCCTATCAAATTGATCTATATACACCTCGAACTGAGGTTACTTCATTCACGACAAAATCATAATACCCTCTGATAGAGCATGGAAACAGCGATATTGTGTGTCATTATCAAAGATCAACACACGACAACTTAATTATTCAATAGATGAACAGATGACACGAACTCGAAGTCGAAGTCGACGTCGACGTCGCAGCAGACGCTCGAGAAGATCGCAGATCTCCAGCCGGCAACTGGAGAGTCCCGTCTAGTCAGTCAATCGTTGTTGTTGTTGTTGTTGTTGGCGCTCTTATCACGATCACGATTTGTAATTTATGATAAATGTTGGCAATTCCATTAATAAAATTAAATAAAGCTCATTAGCTGGCAACACAAAACAAACTCTTTTGGCCAGGCGCAAAACGTGGCCAAAAACAAAATGCAAATATAAATAATACAAAAAAAAAAAAAAAAAAAAAAACTTTACTTAAGAAAGCAAACGACAACCCACTTTGTATACCCTATGCTTGACTTGAATGGAATTTCATAAGAAATTGATCTGGAGATGAAATATTATATGACTTTTTTCAATTTATTATATTAAGTACTCTATTTCATCTAAATTTATTTTCTCTGCAGCTCTCAATAGTTTCGCTCAAAGCTAAGCACTCCGATTTTTTTTTGCTATACTTAAAATATATTTAAGGCTAAACAAAATGTTAGCTAAACTTTTAAAGCATATCAAAATAGAAATGTGTTTTAGACTAAGCAAAGCCAAAGGAAACTGTCTGGGAAACTGTCTCAGCTGCCTTTTGTTTCGGCATGTGCAGTTAACCTTTCACATGCTTCAAACCAGCTATTGGTTCAAACCCTGTCTTGTTTTAAGCGTGTATTTCGAACGGCGTACGTCAGCGACTTCCTAAGCTAAATAAATCTTTATCTTATGACGTCAAGCCAGATGCACAAACTGGAAAGACTCGCATAGGAAGTGTATTGAAAGACATTGATTTTGTGAGGCGCCTGAAGCAGGCGCCGTTTTAAATTATATTCAAATAGTATGAGAAAAACCCAATGTGACAATAAAATACTGGCCCAGTCACCAGTTCCAGTTCTCGGCTCTCAATTGTCGTCATCAGTTCCCAGTTTCCAGTTGCCCGCTGCCAGTTGCCAATTGCCAGTCGCTCGTCCAGAGTTTGGAGGCTTCTTTCTAAGCGTCTGCGGCAAAACTTAAAAGCGGCGCACAAAATTAGCAAGCGCCAGATTATCATAATGTTAAATGACTGACTGCAGTTGTGCGTCTCTCTCTCTTCCTCTCGCTCATCTCTCTGGCTGCTCTTGGAACAGCTAAAAGCTGGCTGCCGCCACTTGGCGCTGTGCGTCGGCTTGCAGGCGCCACTTTTAATTATCAATCAATCAATCAATCACATTTGACGTCTCCCTCCATTAAATGTCAGCCAATTGATTGAATTTTCATTTGGACAACGACAACGACAACGACGGGCATGCCCATACCCCATACCTATTGCTGTACTCATGTCCAGGCGCCAAGCCACATGCCCCTTGCCCCATGCCCCATGGCCCATTCATTGATTGATCAATGATGTTGTCTGGCTCGTTGCCCTGATTGATGAACTGCAGTCGAGTGTGCTTGCCTTTTCAGCAAATCTCTGACATTGTCAGACGAACAGGAATACCTTGGCGAAATTGCAAAGATGCTTAGCTTTAGCTTTGCTATCGCTTTTTTAACTACTTGGGCGACATTTAAGCGATAGCAGGGCATTTATTCAGATAGTCCGCAAAATTGTTAAGCATGCATATCCGTTTTCTTATACCAAACGCAGACCAAGTTTATTTTTCGCTTTGCTGCAAATTTAAATTAAACGAATTTTTTCCAGCTGCTCTTCTCCTCGATTCTCAAGAAGTCAAGTAGGCTCTGCAGTTTTCATGCTAAGCTAGTGTAGTGTTGTGTAGTAGTGCAGTGATTTTTTTTTTGGTTTTTTTTTTTTGCATGCATGCATGTATGTAAGTATGCATGTACATGTGTACATATGTGTGTATGTATGTATGTATGTATGTATGTATGTATGTATGTATGTATGTATGTATAAATGCACGCATGTCTGCATGCCTGTCTGCATACATGTCTGCATGCCTGTCTGCATACATGTCTGCATGCCTGTCTGCATACATGTCTGCATGCCTGTCTGCATACATGTCTGCATGCCTGTCTGCATACATGTCTGCATGCCTGTCTGCATACATGTCTGCATGCCTGTCTGCATACATGTCTGCATACAAGTCTGCATGCCTGTCTGCATACATGATTGCATACATGTCTGCATACATGTCTGCATGTATGCATTTATGTGTCCGGACGTTCATTCACACATGTACGCATGCATGCATGTTTGCATATGTACAAAACAAGTATGCATACATGTGTGTACAAACATGGCATGCATAGGCAAACTTAAGTCTTCGCCCAAAACATCTTGAATGAGTTTTTTGT